CTGACACCAGTGGGCTACATGATAAAGTATGATCCTGAGCCTAATGTGACCAGTGGATACCCCACCCAGGCTGAGGATAGTCCAAACCACTGGTTCGCTGTGAGCCAGGAAATTCACATTTGGTATGTAAATCATACACAGATGCTCACAAACCTCTAGCTCTGCCAGAAAGGAAAGAATCTAATGGCTTCCTTTTTTAAAAACCTTAGAGATGATCTTCCCTATTGACTTTTTTCATGCAAACTTGCTGCCCTGTTGAGCTCTGGCCCAGAATGTGAGCTTCTGCTTCTCCCCAGGTTTTCCCTTCACTCCCTACAAAGCACAGCACAGCGCAGTTTTACTTTGGTAGGTGGGCACAGCATGACATGAAGCCCCACAGAAATGGCTTTTTTAGCCAACAAGGCAACAGAACTACATTGCAATGACACGAACCTTTTCTGTCCAAGGCTCCTTCAAGCGCAGCAAGGCCAACAGTCCTCTCTGGGCCCCACAGATCAGCTGGTATTCTGGGGGTGTGGTCTGTTCCTATTTTGCTCTTCTATAGAAACTGACCTGTGCCTTATGTACTTCTGAAAGTTTGGAGAGACAAAAGTGAACCAAAGGGATGCTTTTTGTGGTGAGGAGGAAGCAGAAACACAATTTCAGATTAGACAGCCCAACCACGCCCCAAAGAGCCACATTACTCAACCGCACACTTACTAGCCTGGAAAAAGGGACATAGGAAAACAAAAGAATCTAAGCTCTAAGTTAGCACCTTGTGAGAGGATCTGCAGGCTTACCTAATCAGTCAGGGGCCCATATCTACCTCCACGAAGTGCCCTCAGGAAGAAGACTCCAGAGCAACAGGGGAAGACAAAATCCAAATGCTACACCTTAAAGCCCCTCTTCTTTTTCTTGTTCAAAGTACTTGACTCTATTCCAGACCAACAGAGACTAGAGTGATGATTTAAATGAAAAATCAAGGGGAAAGAGGGTACACTAGAGAAGAACATTTATTCAATTAGGAATTGTGGCTTCCTAATGTCCATTGAAAAGATGCAATGACTCAGGCATGGCTGAATTATTTGCCACAACAAATGGCAACTATGAAGAAGACACAGAAATTTTTAAAGACTTATAATGAAATGATGCAGTGAGAAAAGCATGATCAGAATAATACCGTGACGCTATGACTATAGAAAGATAACAAGTGTAACAAAACCCAACAAAGCACAAAAAAGAAAAAGAAATCGGAAGGGGACATAGAATTTGACAGGATATTGTTGTCATTATTTTGTTCAATGCTCAAAGGAACAGAAATGCCACAGCAAAGAGGCTGTCACTTACAGCAGGGACTCCTAAATTGATTAGATCAAGCTAAGTATCCCACCAGTCAATCCATTCAACTGCTGACCTTGCCTAGTAGTAAGACTCAACTGTCAAATGTTCTTTTTCCACCTGCACCCCAAAACATCAGCATTGAGGATCAACCATTTATTTCCTTTGGACATCAGACCAGATGCAAATTCTCAATGTCCCAGAACAGTAGGGGCTAATGCACAATTATTAAGCAGGAATCCCAGGACGTCTTTAGGATCTTAAAGAAAGACAACTCTGTTCAGATATATAAGAATGTTTGTCAGCAGGTGGGTAGGGGCGTGTGTGTGTGTGTGTGTGTGTGTGTGTGTGTGTGTGTGTGTGTGTGACACAGAGGCAGAGAGGAAGAGAGTTTCAACATACATCATTAGAGGGAGGAATTAATTTTTATTAATCATGACATATTACAGTAGGATGGGGTATGGTTCAATAAAAAGGAATGCGGAGGAGGTGATGAGGGGAACTAATCTTCTGGACCTGACCTGCCTAGGATCAGTCAGGAGACATTCATTATTAAAAAAGAAGTGGGAGCAATGGGGGTGGGGGTGGTTTGGCTGTGTGAAAGGGAAATATTCCTGACCTCTTAAGACTGGTGACAGAGAAGAGGAAATCCAGGCATAGTCTGACACATACCCTAAATCTGGGAAGAAGAGATTTCAAATGGTTCAGAGAAAAAAGAGGTAAGACCTCACAGCCCAAAATTTTAGGCAAAGTCAGACTCAATAGTTATGGGAAGTCTAATGAATGCCATGTTGAAAACGTAAACAGAAATAACACCAGTGAAAAAGAAAGGAAGTGCTGTCTAGAGACCAATGCAGATACACAGGGAATTCACCAACCAACTTACATTTTTTAAAAAAATAGGCAAAGATGAAGAGAAGGCAGATAATGAGAATAAATGCAAAAGCGTGATAGCCCCTTGAGTACAGCATCAAGAACACCAGAGCTCAAATGAGGTAAGGTGGTGAAGGCTTAGGTTCCTAAAGTGGCTGATACCGCCTCCCCAGGGGCGCTGGAATGATGCAGACATCTCGGGTGCAATTTGGGGGCGTTGAATAAAAATAAGGGTTTTATTTAACATTTTGATTAATGATTTTAAGCAGATAGCAAGTTTATCAAACTTGCAGATCATACAAAGCTAGGAAGGAGAGCAAATACTAATGGAAAAAGACAGCATCCAAAAGGGGGGACAAACTAGAATGATGGGCTAATTTATGAATAGGTCCTATTATACTGAAGTTCAAAAATCAACTTCACAAAAGCAAACAGAGAGAGTCAATCAACAAGCATTTATTACACACCTACTATATCCTAGGTACTAAGCCCTGAGGATACAAAGAGAGACAAAAGACAATCTGTGCCCTCTACTCCTGAAAAAGATCTGGTGGGAAGAGAAGTGGGGCAAGCAGACTGCCTATTCAATACGAAATGCCAGAAGAATATGGTGCGTCACACAGTTAATGTGCTCTTAAGATTACAGAGGGTGTCCCAAAAGTCTCAGTGCAGTTTTAAGTGATTAAAAATTGATTAAATTAGCTCCTCATTCTAGCTTGTCCAAACCTCTTTGGATGTGGATTTTTTCCACCAGCATGTTTGTTCTCCTTTCCAGCTTTGTGTGGTATTCAAATCTGAAAAACTTGCCATCTGTTTTAAGCTATTAAGGCTTAAAAGGGCACTGAGACTCGAGTATAATGTATAATGAGAGGCATAACACCCAAAACACAGGAGGTAGTATCTGTGTTGTACTCTGCCAGGATCAGACCACATCTCTATCAAGTACTGTGTTCAGTTCTAGGGACTACGTTTTAGAACTTGGGCAAGGGCACGCAATCAAAGAAACTAGGAAAAAAAATCCCCAATTAAACACCAAATTGGAAATAGTGAAACTCAAAGGAGAGATTAATAAAATTGAAAGTTTAAAAAACTTAAACTAATAAATAAAACTAGAAGCTGATTTTGGGGGAAAAACAATAAGAGAAATAAACTACTGGTTACTTTGATTTTTAAAAAGGAGGAAAGCCAAATTACCAGTATCAAAAATGAAAAAAGGTGAATGCATCATCAGCAAAGATGAAATTAAAACATTTATTAGAAGTTATTTTGCCCAATTGTATGCCAATAAATCTGATAATCTAAATGAAATGAATATTTACAAAAATATAAAATGCCCAGATCAACAGAAGAGGAAATAGAACACTTAAATAACCCTATCTTAGAAAAAGAAACTGAACAAGCCATAAATCAGCTCCCCAAGACCAGATGGAGTCACAAGTAAACTCTACTAAACATTCAAAGAATAATAAATTCCAATACTATATAAACTATTTGGAAAAAAGGCAAAGAAAGAGTCCTACCAAATTCTTCTTTATGACACAAATATGGTGCTGATATCTAAACCAGGAAGAGAAAAAACAGATCCAACTATTCTGGAGAGCAATTTGGAACTATGCCCGAAGAGCTATAAGACTGTGTATTTCCTTTGACCCAATATTACTACTACTAGGTCTATATCCCAAAGAGATCAAAGAAAAAGGAAAAGGATCTATACATACAAAAATATTTATAGCAACTCTTTTGGGTGGCAAAGAATTGGAAATTGAGGGGGTGCCCATCAACTGAGGAATGGCTGAACAGGCTGTAGCATATGTTTGTGATGGAGTGCCATTGTACTAGAAGACATGAAAAACCAGGGAAGACCTATGTGAACTGATACAAAGTGAAATGAGCAGAACAGATTACTGTACCCAGTAACAGCAATATTGTATCAATTGTGAATGCCTTAGCTATTCTAAGCAATACAATGATGTGAGACAATCCCAAAGGACTTACGATGAAAATATCCATCTACCTCCAGGGAAAGAACTGATGAGTCTGAGCACAGACTGAAGCATAATTTGTTCACTTTGTTTTTCTTGCCTTTTTTTCTTTTTTCTTTGTTACACAGCTAATATGGAAATACATCTTGCATGATTTCACATATATAATGATATCAAATTTCCAATGAGTAGAGAAGAAATGGAAGAGAAGAAAAGAATTTAGAACTCAAAATTTTTTTTTTAAATGTTAAAAATCAATAAATAATAAAAGGGGGAGGAAAAAAAGAACCTGTGTACACTGAAGAGTGAGGAGGAAGCCAACCAGGATGCTAAAGGGTCTTGAAATCATACCCAACGAAGAGCCAAGGGAAACACAATAGGCATCCTTAAGGATGCAGAGAGATGCCACGGGTGAGCAATCAGACACACTATGCTTAATCCTAAGAACAAAGGGAAGAAATGTAAGAAAAGCAGATTTAAGCTTTTGAATGTTCTGCTTCAGGAGGGAAGATACTCCCCCCTTTCATGCAAGGCTTCATGTGGAGACTCCACGGCCGTTTGTCAAGGATCCTATAGGGTAGACCATACAACATCTGTCGTTCCTTCTGAACGAGTATCTGAATGATATTTAATTCTTAAAAACCAGCAAAACATTTAGAAGACATTACAACAGGAAACTCTTTTGAACTCTGGACACCTTTCATGTAGTGAACCATTCAAAGTTAAGCAGTGACATTCTAAGATCAGTGGGCCTAGGGTCCAAGCAGACACTGCGGAGAAAGGAATAAATGCCCCTTGATGGAAAATAAATATGAATGGCACTCTCACCTGCAAGCAATATCAAGATTACAATCTTTATCAATGTAACATGGGCTCTTCCCTCCGAGCTCCAGAGTCACAGGAGTCAAATGCTTGGCAGCAGCTTCCATGACAATCTTCCCGACTCCAGTACTTCCAGTATAGAGAATATGGTCAAATCTTTGCTTCAGAAGTTCCGTGGTCTCCTTGACACCACCATTAATAACCTGGTATAGCTCCTGAGAGGAAGAAATGAGCCAGAACAAGATTGGGTTACCAAATGATCACAAGCTTCCCACATCCACCCATTCTTAAAGATATCTTCCTATTCTATTAGGCTTTAAAAAATATTTTAAATTTCACTGCTGCAAAAGCAATTCTAAGGAGACAGACTCTTGTCACTGTCTTGTCACTGACAGACAAAGACTCAGGACACAGGACAGGTGAGTAGGAAGCACCCTGGACCAGAGTACTAAGATCTGGGTCCAACTTTTCCTGGCCCCCTGAAGCACGAGGCTCCAAGTTCAGATAAGAGCAAGACGAGGCTCCTGACACAAGAAAAGATCTAGAACTTATTCCAGACACTCTTAAAACATTTCAGTTGCTTAGGCACCCAAAAGAGGGCACTGACTGTTTCTGGTTCAGTAAAGACTGAGTTTACCATGTCAGAAGATTCTTAAGTTGGCAGCAAACCTTGCCAGGAAGAGGCTGGTATTTCTGAGGACCTGTTTTAAGAAATTCATTAAGACCCAGAAATTCAGACATCACATCACTAGATTACCTGGTGCCCTATGCAAAGGCATGGAGAAAAGAAGTCATTCTTATAAGGGAACCACGTTTTAAAACATGACCTGGGTCAAAGCACATAAAATGCCACTTTGGCTCAGGGGCTAGGGCTCTATTTCATGGCAGATGTCCTTCGGAGTTTTGGTGTGGCAGTAAAGCCTACACAAGACTCACAAAAGTGGACTGCATGACAATTGTTTTGTGTCCCCAAGCTGAGCTTGGGAGGGAAAAGAAATAAATACTTGTTAATTGGAAAAAAAAAAATTTTAATACAAAACCAAAACCTGGGCTCTGGAAAACTGAGTTAATTTTAAAAACAAACTAACAAAAAAAACCACTAGAGAATAGCACTTATTAAATGCAAGATTTTTTTTAAAGCTATTTCCAAAAAAGTCAGCTTGGGCACTACTGCAGCTACAGAATTGTAAGGAAGAAAAATCCCATGACTGGCACCCTACAGGTCCATTAGGAATTATTCTCGTGGGAAGAAAAAAAAACAAAAAAAAGTGATTCTCCAGACAAATGGTAACAACTCTGGGGCTCTGAAAGGAAGAGAAGTGTAAAGGAAGGACAGGCAAGGTGCAAAGCCAGGCTAGTGATATTCTAAGTCAGGGATAAGGATGCAGCCTCCTAACATGTACACCCAAAGCAAAAACATCTCAATAATGCTTTGCACCCTTCAAGAAAGAGATCAGATGTTTAACTTTCCTGCTTTTAAAATAACCAGTAAACTCTATTCCATAAAATATAATCAACACTAAATTCCTATTTTATGATTGGTTTAGGGAAAGAGGAGGGAAAGAGTCAAAGGTCAAAGCCAGCAGGGGCCATGGGGAAAGAAGAGAAGGAATTGCCAAGAAGGGAAAAGGTGAGGCTCAGCAGGGTTTAACCTCACAGAATCCTATCACTTGTCCTATGGACTTTAGAGAGTTACTATAGGTCAACTCCTAACCTTTGTAAGGTTTCTTATCTAGGCAAGCTCTTTAAAAGGCTTCACCTTTAGAGAGTCGGAGATAAGCTAGTTCCCAGTGAGTGACAGGACCGGAGTGATTCACCAAGCCTGGTTTCTGCATGGCAACACTTCCCCAGGGAGCAATGGGATCATTTCTAAGAGCCAGATGAAATCCAGCCTTGGCCTGATCAGACCAGGGAAGTTCTCCACTCCTTTTCCTTTTTTTTTTTTTAATTCTTAAAATGAATTTGTATTGACATCTTTTATTGTTCACATAGTCAGTTTCTCCCAGAGAGCCATCCTTCTCCTTTTCCCAGAGAGCCATCCCATATAACAAATATTTTTTCAAGAAAAAAAAGAGGAAGTAAAAAAGGCAAGGGGAAATCTGGCCTCAGACTCTTACTAGCAGTATGACCATGTGCAAATCACTCCACCCTGTCTGCCTCAATTTCCTCATCTGTACCACATTAACGTTTTTGTGAGTCAGGGACCCCTTTGGCAGTTTAGTGAAAGCTACAGAAACCCCTTTCAGAAAAATATTTGGAAAAAACTTATCATAAAATACACAAGATTGCAAAGGGAACCAATTCTATGGAAAAGGAGTTATCAAAATATGTTTTACAAGTTCAGTTTGCATACCCTAGGTTAGGTGCCCTTGTTCTACCTGAAGTCTTTCCCAACGCCTGCAGTGGGTAGTGCCAGCTTCTTTACACTCTCTCTATACGTCCATGCTACCTCTCTTACTAGAATGACAACTCCTTAAGGACAGGGATTATTCTTTTCAGTGCTTAAAAGGTGTTTGCTGTTGATGGAACAATACATTCTAAAGGAATAATGACAAAATGTTGCAATAGCATTTTCAAATCATGAACATCAAGGAGCTTTATAGAAAGAAAAGGTGTACTCTTTTTTTAGACTGCTCAGCTTGGAAGCTGTGCCCCTCAGCAGCCCTGGCTCTTGTCCAGTTGTAGGCAGTTTCTCTGTTTAAATGCATGCTGAGGCTTAAGGGAGTTTCAAATTGATTTCTGGCACTGTATACAAATTGAATGAGTAAATATGTGTTGATGTGATACAGAGGAAAGTACACAGAACCAGAAGAACAATTTACATGGAGACCACAACAGCATTAAGAGAAACATGAAAGATTCCAGAACACTGATGGCTGATCACCAGACCTGGGGACCAACTGTGATTTCAGTGGGCTCGAAGGGAAGTGAGCATCCTACCTCAGGCACTGAATGAAGAAGAGATTGGCCAGGCCTAACAATGCACTGATTAATTTTGCTTAACTCTATTTATTTGTTACGAGGCAAGAGAGGGAGGGTTTTGATGAGATGATAATAATTTTCTTAAAGCATTAATAAAATTCAAAATAAACATTATTAAATCTGTGTTAAAAAACAAAAACAAGGAAGAAATACTTACCTTGTCTAAATACTGAGGGAGGATCTTGGCCAAAAGGGTGGCTGTCTTTTCACTTAATTCTGATGGCTTGACTATGACAGCATTTCCTGGACAATACAAAGCGTGGATGAATGAATGAGTAACTTCAACAGCTATCAGTCCAATGTTGAACTGGGAGGCACAGGCATTCCAACTGTCTTTTTGGTAACTTATTCCACTCACTAACTCACTTTCTGAAACGGCACAAAATCTTAAGAGAGCTTTGATGACTTTCTACTTTCTTGACCCCTCCCAACCTCGGATTGCTGGGTAGCTACAGACTTGGTTAGGGGTTCCAGAGGTGGGAGGAATGGAAAGGAGGAATTAAGAAGGAAATGTTCTAGTTCCTTCTCCCCAGCACCTCTCTGGGAAAAGCTCTAATTCTCCAGGACACATTCTGACTACTCTCTGCAGAATAACCAGCTTCCTATGCTTTTCTTCAGCTGTGGGTTCACTAATCCTAGTTCAGTTTTTCTGTCTGCTTAATCTGACTGTATAGATAATATTTCTAACATGGCTGCAGAGAGGTCTCAGGTGCAGTAATGAACACTTCAGAGACAGGTAACTTGTTTCTGCTCCTCGAGCCTCTTCATCATTTTCTTTTTAATTTAAAAATATTTTTTTTCCTTTTAGGCAATTGGGGTTAAGTGACTTGCCCAGGGTCACACAGCTAGTAAGTGTCAAGTGTTTGGTCTGAGGTCAAATTTGAACTCAAGTCCTCCTGATTTCAGGGCCAGTGCTCTATCCACTGCTCCACCTAGCTGCCCTTTCATCATTTTTTAACGCTCACTGGGAACACGTTCTAATACATTCCCAATTAACCCTCTTTGTAGATTCAGCCTGTCACAGACAGAAGGGATGTTAGTGAACATCTGTTGCCTAATCTCATTTTCTGAAGCTATTCTCCATGATCTTGAACTTTCCCCCTTACCCTGGAATTTTCTTTTCTTTTTTTTAAATCTTTCTTTTTATTAATTAATTTATTTTTAGTTTTCAACATTCACTTCCACAAGATTTTGAGTTCCAAATTTTCTCCCCATCTCCCCCCTCCCCCCACCCCAAGACAACTGCATTCTGAATATTCCCCTCCCCTAATCTGCCCTCCCTTCTATCTCCCCTCTTCTCTTATCCCCTTGCCCTTCTATTTTCCTGTATTGCCCTGGAATTTTCAAGCAACACCAAATAGACAGATAGGTTTGGCTGACACTAAATGGGTAGATTGTTAAGACACCATGTAAATGAAGTATAAAGTTCTTGGCCCTGATCAATCAGCACAGCATGATACAATGTCTAATTCGATAACTAGTATACCAAAGAGAATAGAACTGACTTGCTCCAGGCCTCAGATTCTAGCCAGCTGGCTACAATCCTGTTCCGCTGACTCCTAATCTGTGGATTGACCTTCAAGGCCTTTACAAATCCCACAGGTCTGAATAAGTGCATGGATTCCCCAAGCCCTTTCTAAGAAAGTCACTATGCCTAATTAAAGTTTGTATCATGATTAAACAATGTTTAACTAAGTGGCTGGCAAACATGAACGACCATCACTGGAAAGAAATTATTTAACCCAACTTCACTGAGAATGATTCAATAACTTCTACCTTTAATCTGCAAATTAATTTGAGAGAATAAGTATTAAAGGTAAATTAGACACCATACCTGCTGCGATGGCTCCTATTAATGGCTGGATATTTAGGACAAATGGGTAGTTCCAAGCCCCAATAATCAAGATCACTCCAAGAGGCTCTGAGTGGACATAGGCCTCATCCATCATTGTCAGGAGATTCTTCTTAGCTGGCTCTGGGGCAACCCACTCTGGAAGTTTCTCCAGTACATGGTCAAGTTCCCCAAGAATACTTACAACTTCTTGACTAAATGCATTGAATTCACTCTATCACAAAATAGAATCATAGTTAATCTTTAAGTGGCAGAGCGGATATAAGAGCAGCTTTAAGTCTCGGACAGGAAATATACCTGTTTGACAATTAATCCCACGATACAGATTAATGGAGTTACCTCAGCCCCTTTCTTATTGTTCTGTAAACCCCTGCTAAATTCCATTAGAGCTCAGGCAATTCATCTAACCTTGAAATCTCTCCAATCTCTCCTACTCACACTAATCACTTACATAAACCAGCCAAAAAGTTAACTGGGACAAAAGGCCTTCTGAAATACGGAGCTGAGTGCCCTTTGAACTTTTACATGTACCTGGGCACTGTTTCTTCACTTGCTCGTAATCTGCTGGATAATTTTTTTTCATACCTCTTTTTTCTCTCCATCTACTAAAGGGTAATTGGGTCCAAGACAGATTCTTTGTGGACCTCGACCCGTCTTAAAGAAATCCTCAATGGGGATAAGGGCTGATTAGGGAATTCCCTCTACAGCTTTAGTCTTCTAGAGCTGCTCCTTGCTCTGGGTCACCTGGCCAGGATGCTCGGGAGGTGAGACTTGAACTCAGGTCTTCCTGGCCAGCTCTTTCTCCAGTACGCCACAGGACAACTCTCCCTAGCCTGGTCTCCCAAGGTAGAAGTGGTGGCAGGGCAGCCCCCGGCGGGGGGGGGGAGGGAGTGTCACAGTTTTGTCCTTGGCACCCCTCCACCCCGTTTTATCGCAGGACAGATTTCCTCCCTCCCTTCCCCGAGATGAAGTGAGCCACTGACTGTCTGGGAAGGTTCACAGCTGCGGCAGGGGGCGCGGAGCCGAGCCGGAAATCAGTGCACCGCAGAGCCGGGGGCGGGGACGGGGGGCAGGGGGGAGAGGGAGGGGGCGGGGATGGGGGAGGGATTATCTAGCGCCCCGCGCCCCTTCCCTCGCGCACCTTGTGCAGGTCCTGGGCCAGCGCCCCCAGGATCTCCTTCTGGCATTCCTGCACCATCCTCTGCAGGGCCCGCAGCTGCTGCAGGCGGAACGACAGAGGCCTCGAGCGGCCGGTCTGGAAGGCCGCCCGGGCCCGCAACACCAGCTGCTCCATGGCACCGCCCTGCACAAGACCAGAGCCGGACAGCGGGCGCCCGGCGAGGGCGTCAGGGCCGAGGCCGGGCCAGGGGCGGGGGCGCTCCTGGCCGGGGCGGGTCCTCTCCGGCCCCCTTCCCCTTCTAGCCCTACGTTCTGCCGCAAACTCGGCGGGCGACCCTGGGGGGGCGGGGCCCGGGGCCGCAGGTGCGAGGGAAGGGCGGGCTCCGCGGCTCCTGGGCGTCAGTTACCGTCAGGCCCGGAGCCCAAGCCCGAGGGACGGGCCCCCAGCTCGCCTTCCTATTGGCTTGGGAAGGCCACGTGCTCCGCGCCTCGCCCCGCCCCACGCCCACGCCCTCTGCGACTCGCCTGCAGTGTCCAGGGACGGAGGCGGGGGAGTGGGGCTCTGACGTCACCAGAGGCTCAGTCCAGGCCCCCTCCTTCCCCTCCCGGCTCTCCCTCTCGGGAGTGTCAATTGAAATTATAGATCCGGGATATCTGTGTTTCCCCTACATAACGTATGTCCATAGGATACAAAGATAAGAAAAGTCCCACTGTTCAAGAGTGTCTGGTCCCAGGTATCCTGTCCTTAGTGATCACAAACAGGAAGAATGCTGGTCAGTTCCATCTGGTCCTGTGGTTGCTGGCACAGGAAGGGGTATTTTTAGTTAACTCAGAGAGGAAAGATTAATTCAGGTTTTTGGCCCTTATTGGGGCTCAACTGATCTTAAATGATTAACATTGGCCAAGAAGGTCCTTCTGGCTCTAGATCTACCACCCTAAGTCCCAAATCGAACTCCTTATCTTTCTGCCCCCTAAAGCACGATCTTCTGAACTCTCCACTTGGCCATCAGTTATACACCCGGCTTTCTGCCTCCAGGGGCTCGCCCCTCTCCAGGACTCCGGCTTTACTGCAGCCTCTGTATCTGGTCTTTGCCCATTCAAGCCCTCCTGCACACAGCCATCCTCTGAAAGAACGGCCACCCACACATCTGACCGTAATATCAACTACTAACAGCAGCCCTTCACAGTCTGATCCCAACCTTTCATTCAACATCACCATTTGCTTCCCCTGGCTCCACTCCAGCCAAACTACATGACTTGCTGTTTCCCATACATAATATTCCATCTCCTGCCTCAGTCCCTTAACAAGGCCCCCTCCAATAGGCCAGAAATCCTTTCCCTCTTCACCTCTGCCCCTTGGAACAGCTATGTTCCTTCCAGGCTCATCCTCTTACAAGGTGCCCCTCCTACAAGGGCTTTTCCTGATTCTCCCAGTTACCTGGGGACATGTTTTTTCCCACTGGAATGTAATCAGGCAGGGAATGTTTCATTTTTGTCTGTGGTCTCCAGTGCTTGGAACGTCTCGCACAGAGTAAGCACTTTCATAAATGCCTGCCAAATTGTTTTGAAGGGAATTTGAGATAATCTAGTCTAAACCCCTACTTCTCAGAGAAGGAGCAAACAGGCCCAGCAAAGTGATCTTAGTCAACTGTAGGCTGGAAAGTCCCTGTCTTAAGGGTGTGACATAGCTGCTAATGTTTTTTGAAAAGGAAGGAAGGGGACTGAGTTCTATGTCAGAAGAAATGCCAAATTGGTATTGAGATCTACTAAGCTGGTTTGCACGCAGGAAAGATACTGGCATGTATTCATACCGTGACAAAGTATTCTGCAAATGAGAAGTAAAAAGGAGACCTTGGTAGTAAACAATGTAACTAGACCCAGGAGACACTCTGCTTACATTTCCCTTTAGGGCAATCAGCACCTCAGCTAGATCTGACTGAGGTTCACCACTCCTGGCTCAGGGCTCCCTCATAATACTCACCATTGAGGAATTCTGGATACCGAGTGGGATTTACCAAAATGAGACATGTTTGCTGAGGCTTAGAGAACAGGCCAAATTTCAGTCTCCAGAGAGCCACAAAACCTATTTCGGTTTAGCACAGACCTACTAAACACCAACTCTGCTTAGTAAGTGTGTGTTAGTAGGTGTGCAATTTATGTTCCGTTTCTGTGTTCAGGGAACTGACCACAGAGGTCCTGGGAATACAAAGACAAAAGAGGAAGTCTTGGGTCGAGAAGGAACCTCCAGGGCAGTCTGGTCCAGCCCCCTCATTTTACAGAGGCGGAACTTGTGACCTAGAAAGGCTCAGTGGCTTGCTCAGGGCAACACAGGTGGCCAGCATTGGAGGCAGAATTTGCATCCAAATTCTTTCCACTGTACCAGCCAGCCCCTGGGATCAAGAAGCTGACATTTTACCGGAGGATGTGCCATGTAAATGAAGGGAAAGAACCCTCACAATGGCCAGAGGAATGGTGAGGGTGGTGGGAAGGCTCCTGGCCATTTTTCCACTGGAGCTGGACCTTAAGGGAGATCAGCCCTCTGAGGGGGCAGGGCTGAGGAGGAAGTGCATTCCAGACATGAGTGGGGGGCGGGTAGCCTGGAGGAAGACAGAATGGTAGGAACGTGCAACCTCCTCCACATGCAATCCAACTGGAATTTGAAGGACGTGGAGGGATGGCTTTCTCCCCGATATTCACCACTTTTGTTCTCTCCCCGATGTTCCCTTTGGGTAACTTTACCACGTAGGATATATGGTCTGGCTACTTCCCCTGTGTTCTTTTCCCATAAGTAACTTGATAGCATCTCCAAATTTCACTTCATCTGTCCAGATTTACTAACTGGTCATTTTGTTTTTCCCTCCGAAAGTCAAGGTAAGTACCATACTTATTGACCTCCCCAGCTTTAAGTCCCAACTAAAACCCTACTTTCTACAGTAAGCCTTCTCTAACCCCTCTTAATTCTAGTGCTTTCCCTCTGTTAACTATTTCCTATTTATCCTGTATACAGCTTGCTTTGTATATATTTGTTTTCATGTTGTCTCTTCCATTAGATTATAAGCTCCTTGAGGGCAGGGACTGTCTTTTGCCTTTTTTGGTATCCCCAGAGCCCAGCACATATTCTGACACACAGTAGAGGCTTAATAAATGTTCATTGAATGAATGAATGCCAAACTCCTTCATGCTAGGACACATTTACATAGATCCTAAGATCATAAATTTGGAGCAGGAGGAATGTCAAAGCTCACCTAGTCAACCCTTTCATTTTATACATAAGAAAACTGAGGCCTCAAAGGATGAAATGGCTTCACCAGTGTCTCATAGGTAGTAATTAGTGGGCCTGGACTCCAAAGCTGGAGTTCTAGCCACAGCACCTTGTTACCTCCTTTCCCACAATGCCTTTTCTAGCCAGGAGACAAAAGGGTGAAAACAACCACATTTGTTTTCAGTGACATAGACTTGGAATTGATTACAAGATCACAGGTTTAGAGCTGGGAGGGTCTTCAGACACCATTAAGTCTAACTCATTTTACAAATGAAGAAACTGAGGCCTGAAGAAATGAAGTGAGTTGCCTCAGCACAGATTAAGTGTCAGGTCATATTTGGACCTTGGTTCTCTTATTCCCAACCCACTACTATCTTTTTTTCCCCAAATTTGTGGATCAACTCACTGATTGGGATACTCACACTTAAAACTCACTGATCATTAGGAAAGATTTTAGGTATTAGGAAACTGCAGAGAAAGCCAGGAAAAAGAGAGCAATTTTTGATTTGACTATTTTTTTAGGACTCCATACAGGGAAAAAAAAAATCTAAGGGCAGCCCTGAATTCCAGAAACACAGCTGTTATATAATTTATTGCATTACTTTTACCGCCAAATAACAAGAGAGCTAGCATAATGATAGCAAAGGGTCCAACATTTCCCTTATTACAGAAGTTTAAGATTGTGGAGATGGTGGGACTTGTTGGAACATAACTGGGAAAACCTCCTCCTGCTTCATGCCCTTTTGGTTCAAGAAGAATCATTTTAGCCAGGAGACTATGACTTCACCTACAGCGACTGCTTTTAAGGTAACGTTGGTGAAGCCATTTAAAGGACTTACAACAATAGCGAGTCTTAGAAAAGAATCAGAAAAAGAAATTACCTTCAACAGAATTTCCCGGTCAAGTCGACAGTAATTAACACAAACAAAATGAAGCTCTTCTGCTTAGCACTAATATAAAGGCCCTCCCAGGAAAGTTGGACCCAAGCCCAAGACCTTTGTACAGTATTATTCAGATAAAATGGTAGCATCTTTTCATCTCTGCGTGCCAATTCACTCCCTCTTCTCCTGTTTACTTCTCCATAATATCAGATCAGCAAACATTCACTGAACCTACCACGTGGCAAGGTTGTACTCCAAACTCCAGCCTCATTCAGCTCTTTGGCCCTTCCTATTTCTTCTTTCTCCTAGCTCTCATTCTAGAGCACAAATAACTGTAGTTATTTGTGATCATGCTTTCTGATGTTTCATTGACTGCAATCTGATAAATATCTCCAATCCAGCCCTCCATCGTGTGTCAGCACAAACAACCTCCATCTATCTTGTCATCACCATAATCATTGAGTCCCTCCTATAAGGTGGCAGCGTGGTGCCCTGAAGAGATTCCTGGTTCTATAAAGTCATGTAGGCCCAAATCTCCATTTAGGATTAATGGATCCTATTAATGGATCCTTAGGATGCTTACTCTTTGTAGGTCCCTTAGTTCCCCAGGGAGCCCTAGGTTTCCTTTCTGGAAAATGAGGAGGTTGGGCAAGATGGTCCTCCTTCCATCCCTAAATCTCTGTTCTTATGATCCTGTGTGCAGGGTACTGAGCTATGTACTATGGATCTAAAGACATTTTGGGTGAGATCTCCGCCTCTAAGACCTTATGGCTTATTTGGAGAGACAGAACACAAACGTGAAAAAAGTAACAATATATAAGGTAGTATAAAAGTGACAAATGAGTGATCCAAAAAATATTTGGAGTTCAGAGGAGCGGTTTGAGATGAACACAGGATATCCTTGAGAGTTAGGGATCTGGATCTCAAGTGTCTAAAGATAATCTTGAACCAGAAAATCAGTCCTGGATTATCTGGGCTAGAGAGAAGTCCTGGATAACTCCAGTCTACAAGGATTAAGGCAAAATCTGCCAAGATACTTTCATTCTTAAATTCTGTGCTCCCAAGTCTTTCTAGATCTAGCAGTGTGCAATGACAAGATTGGGGAGATGAGGAATGTACAATGTGGCTCCTGCTTTCAAGGAGCTTACATTCTAATGCAGAGGGAATATGTATATGCAAAGTTTGGATGCCAGGAAGAATGTGTGTAAATGCCACGATGGAATCAGGCTGGATTTGAACTCAGGTCCT